TTTGACATAAAATTCAGTGATTTTCTGGAAAAAACATCCATTTCTCATTCAAACTACATAACAAGCCACCAAGACATGCGGTGGGGGAAAGCAAGAAGCATTCACAAATATGGTGTCTGAGGAAGAATCAGATTGATGTGGAGGGCTACCTCCTTCATGTCAGAAGTTTTTCTGCTGGGACTGTAGGAAGCAGCAAATCAACCCTACAGAGGGATGGTTCTATTTACCCATGTAGAACTGAACAGAAAATTAAAAGTTACTGAGGCACCCTGTCCATAACATCCTTCTATTACCATCAAGATGTGGGACTGATAATTCTGTAGTATCTAAGAATGGCTGGAAGATCCTATAGTAGCCTTACAGATCTCTTCATAAGATATGTTATCATTTTGCCCATAATATTTCTGTTCCTTTCACTGAATACATAAGAATCACAGAAAGCTCCAAATACCTTCTTAAAAAGAAGGTCTCTAGTTGGCAATTTACATTTACTGTGAAGTGGTCAAACGGTCAAGAAGTGGCTTCATTAGGATGTATAGCACAGGCCAAGATCAAGACAGGAATCTACATATTGCTAGAGGACTAACAATCTATTATGCAACAGTAATTAAAAAATCTTTTCTTATAGGTGAAATATGTCTGCAGTTGTTGAACTGTCTATCAAGAAGAGTGCTAGTGGCCTAGAGCCCCAGTCAAGCATATTGTAAAATAAACACTAGAATGTCCTTTTCCACCTAAATTGTCCCAAATGCGCCATGTACCACCAATATTGAACTCTTCAGTTTAAATATACCGTTAAACACATAATTTAAGAATGCTGTCAAAGACAGTAAGGCACGGGGTGTTTCTTACCTTCTTAAAGTGAATGACTGGTTTCTTTCTCAACTTTCCAGGTGATGAGTTTGGCAGCAAAAGGAACTGATGTTGCCAAACTCAGGATAGATCTATAACACACTAAGTTTTATATGTGTTTTGCAAGTCTGAGGGGACCATTCCAGTTGTATCTAAATCATGCATGAGAGGTGTGATTATATCTGTGGCCTACTCCTTCACAATCCTCTTGACCATCTTTACCACAAGACAATGATAAGACATAAAGGAGGCCTCTTAGACCATTTTTGAGATAAAGGGCCTGGAGGTGGGCTGCATATGAGTGTCTCTCTCATAAAGTTGATTTTACAACTGGACTTGAATGAAAATAGTTTCATGAAATAAGATTCCAATCATGACTACAATGAACTGAAAGGCTAAGTGATCTAGGCCAGGGATATACAATCTGCACAGTTAAGAGTCAGATGTAGCCTGTAGAACTGGTGGAGGCTTCACCCACTATGCCCTAGGCTGCAGCTGAGGGCAGTAGTGACAGTAGCTGAGTCATAGCACTGGATCACCTTAGACCTGAGTTGGGTCATTTCAGTCTGCTTCCGGCACAAGTTGACAATTGCTGCTCTGGACTGTATTTTCTTAATTCTAAGAATGTTCTGCTGAGTTAGTCAACTCTGACTTTAGAGCAAAATGCTACATAAAAAACCCTATTTTTCTAAGCAGTAACATTTTTTCTATTTTACTAGCAGTGGTATATACCTGCGTTTCTGATTAATCACATGCTTGAACTGCATGAGATCAGTTATACTCCAGTTCCCTTTTTTAGGCCATATCTCCCCAAGATTCACACAGAAGTCCAGATACATTCTCTTAGCATAGCGGTGTTCAGCTAAAATTAGCTAGTAGGCTACATTCCTTGCCAGCAGACAAGAATGGGTCATCCAGCCCATCAGACTGCTGCCAGGACTGCTGTGGGTATGGCCACCAACCAGGGTACCCCCTCACTCAAATAGCACCAGTGATTGAAAACCACAGATTTGGCAGTGGGAAAAGGGGCACGAGTGGTGGCAGCATTAACTTCTGGGTGGAGCCCATGCCAGTGGGCTTCATGATCTACTTCTTTAGGCCAAAACAAGAGCTCTGACAACTGGGAGAAGCCCTGTAGGCTAGATGACTCACCTTCTCACATCTTATGTTTGACACTCTTACCTTACAGCCCCAAAACATTGCCTACCTCTGTTGGAGTGCCCAAAAAAACACAATGAAAACAGCTTCTGCCTCCCTGCCCTGGGCTCTGGGAAGGCAGTAGGTGCTGGCACTGTGCCTGTCGGCTGGGGCAGGGAGGCAGCAGCTATTTGCAGTGTCCTGACTGCAGCCAGCCCAGGCTCTGGGGTAGCTGCTGCCAGCCATGGTGCCCAGGTTGCTTGCAGCAGGGCTTGCAGCCTCCTAGCCACCTGCTGGGAGCAGCCCGGGCTCTGTGGCTGGCAGCAGCTGCCTAGAGCCCAGGCTGGCGGTTGCGTGCCAGGCAAAATGGCCTCACACGCTATGCTCGGCATGCGTCCTGGGGGTTGCTGACCCCTGCCTTACAGGAACAGGTCTATCCTAATTAGTAGCTTCTCTAGACCTGGTAATCAGCCAGCTGTATTACTTCAACAAAACACGTCAATACTGAATCTGGACCAAATGTACATGTTAGTTCAGAGCACTGGTTTTGTAGGTTTTTAACAATGTCTTCTGAGCCATATGCAGCTGTCAGAACCCTAGATATATGTCATATCATCTCTATAATTCTACTATCTACACTTGAATACAGATATGATATGACATGTATCCAGGGCTCTGGCAGCTTGGTGTCGGTCTACCCATGTAAAATTACAAGAGAGTATTCTACTGAAAATACATCTTACAGTAGCAGGAGTTCAAGAAACTCTTAGTGACTCTCTACCATATCTTTAGTAGATCACCAGACTATGGAAGTCTCAAAAAAATGGGAAGTTTTGGCAAGATAATGTTGTAATATTGGATTCTGAGGAGAAATCTGAAATATTAATCTCCTTATAGACTCAGTAAAAGACAGTGATATTTGCTGCATATTATTGTTTTCCTGGGTCACAAAGAATCTTGTGCTCTTTGTAAAATATCTGCATCTCCCTGACTTTTTTCAGTATGTAGTAGATTGGCACTGTAGCCATTATCTTCTGATGCAGTGAAAGGTCTCATTAATAGTATTGGTTTTAATTTACTTTGGAGAAAATATAAACCTGTCTGAGGGACAATAACAAATTCAACTGCTTATCCATTTTTATTTCAACCAGCCATGTTCTGGAGTGGCTCACTTCCAGACAGTCCTTCATTTTCTAAAAACATAAGCAGCTCAAATGTTAGTCACTCACTTGTTACTAACTCTGGGGAGTTTATTTGCGAGTCTGAAGCATCTTATACAAAGCCCTGACTTCAGAGATTTACTACTACTCAGAAAGAACATAGATTTCATAGATTTAGGGTCGGAAGGGACCTAGTAGATCTTCTAGCCCAACCCCCCACCAGGGCGGGAGAACAACAAAACCCCAAAACAAAAAACCGGACTCAAATGAGTCCAGCCAGGTAGGCATCCAGCCTCTTCTTAAAGACCCCCAGGGTAGGGGCCAGCACCACTTCCCTTGGAAGTTGGTTCCAGCTCCTAGCCGCCCTAACTGTGAAGTAGTTCTTGCGGATGTCCAATCTATACCTCCTCTCCATCAACT